CTTATCAGGACCCAAACCTTACTCCATAGAAGCCGTGATTTCCATACACTGCATTTCTGATGCATCTGCCTAGAAGTTATAGGGAACAAAATGAGACTGAGCAGATGTGGGCATGATAGGGTTCATTTTTAGACATTTTTTCTGCTGTTATATTGTACTGTATCAGGTTGCTGACATCTAGTGGTGGTTTAGAACAATTGCAGCTTGTTTATGTGATTTCCTAGCTCCTTTTTAGTGCTAGTTAGTGCAGTCCTAGCTAGACCCTTCTGTTTCTTCCATTTTTTTCCAGTCAGTGTTAGCTCTTTGCAAATATGGGACTTGGAAATGGCACTGTATTCTTACACTTCAAAGGTCTGTAAAAAGATCTTCTGTATTGTATTTATCTGAAGTAAAATTGTGTTGGATTTGATTTTTGTCTCTTACTAATTGAAAAACAAAACATACAAAATAAAAAAAATCTGACAAAAAATTGTTTTGGCTTCAACTTCTGTATCTTATTGGCGAGATAAGTTGCCTGTAGATGGTGCCAAGTCAGCAGGTGACCATACTGTCTGGACAGACTGGGTCTGTGGAGATAAATCAATGCATAAAGCAGCATTTGAAACAGAAAACTGTTCAGTATATTGAGGTAGGTATGGAAACAACACACACTCCTTTCTCGAGGAAGTTGTTCAGATGAAACACATCAAGAGGGAGAAGTTCTATGATGTCACTAAGACATTTTAATTTTATTTAATATCCAGTTTTACACTATGCATGCTTCTTCCTCTTTTACTTGCCACAAATGAAATGGAATTTTTGAAGGAGACTGCTTGATGCTAAAGGAACCTTTCAGAGGCACACCATGGAAAACTAATAAAATGCACTATTTGACCAAATTTAATAATAAAAGGTCAATAAGGATTTAGTAAATGACTTCCTAAGTGGGAGCCCAACTGATGATTCATATCAAGGATCTTGTGACAGACCCAACTAGGACAGGGGCTTTTGGAGGGCACTATGGACTAGACTTCTACCCACTGATTATGGTGCATGGAGGAAACTGGGGATTTTGTCTGCTTCTCAAGGTCAGAGCATAGAGGAGAACCGGGTCCTGAAACCCTTTGACTGGTCGGGAGTATTTACTGGAGTTATGCGGCCAGGAAGTCCCCAGAACAGAGGTGCATCTGCAGGAACATTGTGTTGGACAGATCATGAAAACGCACCTTCACCAATCGGGTATATGGAACTCTTCTTGCGCATATTTCTTATCTTGCATTTGCCCATTTTTCCCCAGCTACTGCCAACTTTATATAATTAACTTTTTATATTATTTTCGTTGAAGATGTGCCAAACTTGACATAGACAAGGGAGGCAGGCTGCAAAATTCCTTTGACTACTAGCCATACTGACAAGACTTGTCTAGGTATCTAGCTGTTAATTAGATTAATGTTTAAAGGTTGCATTGCCATGTTTTTACTGCTTGCACGTCTTATCTTGTCTATGCTAATATCCCCAAGAGCGGAATGTTGTCCTGGGGGTATAAAGTATCTGGGTTTTAATAAACAGTTATTCCTTTGGTTTTATCTCAACATCTTGTCTGTGTATGAGTCTTGGGGTAAAGGGCTGGTATTAGCTATTGGTCTGCTGGAAGGGTTTGGAGGGCAGGAGGCACTCATTTGTGGTGCCAGGCAGTCTGTCACAGATCTTATACAGTACTTACAAAAGGTAGCACACTTTTGGGACTTTTATTCATATTTCACACTGTTGGATGTTTATTATTATACATTTAAGCAAAGCTATATACAAAGGTTTGAGATTATGCATTGATTTTATGCATTATTATTGACACAATTGGAGAGGTAGTTTTTATTTGTGACAGCACTAGAGAATGATACTAAAACAGGAAACCTGGATTAGTGGCTGCGGCCACTGCTTAAACTGGAACATAGGCTGGAATTAAAAGATAAAGAAGCATCATACTCTGTAATTGATTTAATCAGCTGTTGAAAGTGCATTAAAAGCTGAAGGTTTAATATCACCAGGGGTGGACTGACCATTTGGAAACTCGGGCACTGCCCCGAGGGCCCGGGGTCAGTAGGGGGCCCCATGAGATGCCCCTGGTACCTTTTTCATAGGCTTTTTTGAGTTTGGGCAAGGACACAGGGGCCCCATGATCCCCTATTGCCCGGGGGCCCCATGAGTTGTCAGTCCACCCCTGAATATCACTTTAATATTTTCTGGAACAAATAGGCGTTCTAGGTTTAATGGTTTTATGCAGTCTTTTTAGTGTGAAAAAAACCTAAACACAAATCACATACATCACTTGGCTGTCCCAAAAATCATTAACTCAACTCTTTCATGAAACATTTGTTGTCAGGTGTAAAGTGCAGTGCCTAGAGCTGTTCTTAAATACCTGTAGCAGCTTTCAGGCTCCTTCTGCTCTGTCCAAACACAAGGCTGTAAGGATGAGCAAAGCGCTGACACTTCCTGCAAGTATCAAACATTTGCCTTTTCTATTTCAATTCCTTCACACTATGATGGACTGACTTACTTTTATATAAGAATGTTCATGAGGCAGGCAATTTTCAGCACTACAAGGAACTGCCAGAACTGTGCCCATTAGAACAGAACTTGACCTTTATACCTGACGACAGTTAATTTAGGATATGTTGCAATAGAGTTGATTTATAAAGGAGTAGAGTATGTATACTTTGCAAGGTGAATACGCTGTACTTCTTTGGTAAATCAACCCCACGGTGTTTAAGGTACAATTTGCTTTCACTTTATATGCACTTTACATGCATAACCATTCATCCCTATGCAAGGTGTACACCCCAGAGATGCAGCAAGTAAATGTAGCCTCAAGGCAAGGTGGATAATTTACATAGAAACATTGGAAAATTGACAGCAGAAAAATGACCAAGTGGTAAATCAAGTCTGCCATTTTTTTAAATGTATGCATGTGTTTATTTTTTTTGTCTGAGTATAGATGTATGCTTGTCCCAAGCATGCTTGAAAACATTTACTGTTGACTGACTCTATATCTCTGCTGGAAGTCTCTTTCAAGCATCAACTATCTTTTCAGTAAAATAATACTTTCTCAGATTAGTTTTGAATGCTCCTCCTGCTAGTTTGAAATCATGTCCTCGTGTTCTTAATTTTGGTTTCATATTGAAAATGCCCTCTTGAACCTTATTCACCCCCATGGTGTGTTTAAAGGTTTCAGTCATGTCTCTATTTCCCTTCTTTCCTCTAGACTGTACATATTAAGTTCCTGAAGTCTTTCCTGATATGTTTTATCCCCCAGACCTTTCAGCATTTTTGTTACCCATCTCTGGACTTGTTCTATCAGAACTGGACACATTTGGGTTTATTTACTAAACCTGGAGAGTGCATAATCAGGCTCACTTCTGCATAGAAACCAATCAGCTTGTTCAGTTGAGCTTTGGCAATAAAACCTGGAAGCTGATTAGTTTCTGTGCAGAAGTGAGCCTGATTTTGCACCCTCCAGGTTTAGTAAATAAACCCCAGTATTCTAAGTTAGATCTAACTAACAGTCTATATAGGGGAATCAGAACTCCTTCCTCCTGGTCCTGAGGGTGACTCCTCTAGTGATACATCCTAGAATTACTGTATATTCACTTTCCCACTGCTTACTCACCCTGCTTGCTCATTTTGCAATCATCTGAATTAAGTACCCCCCAAATATTTTCCTCTGTAATGCTGACCAACACTGTACCCCCAATGTTGTACTCTGTCAAAGGATTTTTTTTCCCTAAGTGCATTATTTTACATTTAGAAACATTGAACTGCAATTTCAACTTATTTGGCCAATTTCCCAGCAATGCCAAATTGTGTTCCATGTTTCATACACCTACAGGGATATCAACCCTATTGCACACCTGTTATCAGCAAAAAAACATACCTTACCCAATTTTATAAAAAAAAATCGATGGACACTGCAGGGATCCACAATAATCTTCTTCCCAAATCAACTAATGACAAAAATGAAACGTGCACAGTAAAAAGGTTCCAGAGCCAGGACCATGAGGCTTTTCAAGACCTCTGTATCAGCCTCCCTGAGCATTATAATGGGCCACGAGGTCATAGACTGTGCTGGTGTCCACTCCAAAACTGATGTTTGTTTAGGTGGAGTTACAATTTTTACATAATAATTTTTTTATAGTTATCACCTTTAAAAAAGTGCATTTCTAGCAATTCTTAAAAAAGACATCATTATGAAAAAGAATACACTCAGGTTTAAAAATATTTTCATCATCATACCAAAACTTCTATGAATTTGACCCTATCCCGAGGCATTATTTCTAAGAAAACAGGGAATGAAAAAAAAAATCCAAAGTGCTTCCAGCGCAGCTTGGCAGTCCTGAGCTGCCAGATGTGTCTGGATTTAGTGTTTTCTTGACAATTAACTCCAGGATGAGCAGTGTGTAATATAGCGTCCTCACCTTTGTCTGCACAGGAACCTTAGGATGTGCTCTGCACATTGTACACTCAGCAGCCTCAATGTGCTTTTCTGTGTGAGCTCAGGAGTTTGGACAGATCTATAACATGAATAAATAACACAAGGGCAGTCAGCCAGAAATCGTTTTCTTTATGCTCGAAAAAAAAAAAACTATGGAAACTCTGAAAACCCCCATATACACCCAAGAGACCACTCCTTGAAATGAAGAACTTTATTCACTATTTACATTACAGGGTTGCACTGATGTCAGTAGAGATATATGGATTCTAGTGTAACCAAGCTCTTGCATTTTCTATAAAATTCTAGTTTTAGGGGAGGTCTAGTAACATTACTCCCAGCCCCCCTCCCCACTTCTTATTACTAGCACTAGCAACATATTAGAAAGATGAGAAGGGTCCTGCTTCTCTCTCCCTACTAGGAAATTTGCAGCTACCACTTCAGTTTAGATCCCAAGCTTGCTTTTTTTATCCTCAGCTTTCAGCTTTATATGTACATATTCATTACTTTAGTTTTTCTGTATTTGAAAGTATAGAATATGGGGTGCACAATTGGCAGTGTATTTTTACTGCAGCTTGCTGTTTACTTTTACTTCAGTTTGCAAGGTAGCTGTCAAAGCTATAGAAGTCAGAGTAGCCACAGTGCTTTTTGGAGACATAGGGTGCAATGGCAAAACAGTGGAAGGGTCTACAGCCTGCTCAGCCAAGGCTCAGAGTACCAACCTCCCAGGAGAAGAGAATCTGTTGAACGTACACCTAGCAGTTCAATACTAGTCCTAAGTGCTAGAAATCATACCAGTACATCCGTGTCTGAACCTGCAAGACCACAGTCTTCTAATCCTGGTAACAATCAAACTCCGGGGTTAGAGCGCAATAACCCCCAGAGGCTAAGAGACTCTTCTGGTCAGTTAAGCTTCCAGGCATCGAGACCCAGAAGCCCTGCAGGTGCTGCTACAGGACAACAGAGGACCAGAGAGGATGCTATTAGAGCAAGATATCAAAGTACAGCTCGTCCATTTAACAGGCAGCAGCCACAAAGAGTGAATGCTACAACAGTCAATACCGTTAGACAGGAAGTGACGCAAGGACTTCAAGGAGATGACCCATACAACCCCTATAAATACAGTGAAGATAATGGCTATCAAAACTCTTTTGATACATACGAGACGAGAAGAGAAAGCCTTAGGAGGAGGCCAGGTTATGGCATGCGATACTTTCAGCATGGTAAGAATCATACATGTCTACATTGGAACGGTGGGGGGTAGCTAGTCAGAATAGCTCTCATTTCGCCATGTACAATATTGCTCTGTCTTTACTGTAGTTTTTATTTTTTTTAAATGAGCTTCTAAATGTATATTTGAGTTTTGAAAGATTATTGAAAGATTATTATACCTGTAATATTTTTGTAGATATTCATAAGGGCCTTTCCAAGCCTGTTTTGATTGTGGGTTAATATGTGTTTGTTTGTGCATTAACATGCGTCATGTTAAGACAGTCCATTCAAGTGAATGAGCTGTCATTACAGATCAAAACCTGGACATGTGCCATTTTTTCTGATGCAGCGCACCACAATGAACGGTAGTGTGTTGGGGCACCATAGACAATGGTAATGACATGCGAGTAAATCAATATATTTGCTGTACATCCAAAGTGATAAGATGAACAACTGTCAAAAATATTAATTTTAATTTTCATTTGTCAGAGTGATAAAATAATTATACAAACATGCTTGCTATCTAAGAGAAAAGGAAAACAAATATTTAAGCAACTTTACTAAAGACTTATACACACGATAAGAATATCAGAGGAATAATCGTTTTTGAATGAATAGGTTACTAAAGTTATGAAAAATCTCGTAAGACAGAATGCACAGTCACATGATGATGCAATGTATTGTATTGTATTGTAACCTATTTTATTTCATTTATGAGCATGTCACTCACTTTTTATGGACGAATACTGTACTGCTTAAACAAAAATCGTTAATTCTGGTATCGTATAAGAAACATTTTTATGCTTGCCCCTTCGGGTAATTTTGCATGAACTGCCATGATTGGCTCTTGAAAGCTGTATAATAACAGTCAGATTATTGGAAGAACACTTCCGAAAGTGGTATTTTTGGTCTGCGTTTCTCAGTGCGCAGTAGTAGGCTTAACCTTGTGGGTGGAATCAAACTGCACTTCACTTAAGCAACAAATCAAACTAGTGATTATAATTTTCAGTCTGTCTGAGTTTATCAGAATTTACAATTACTGAAGCAAAGGCTGATTTACTAAAACAGAGAATTTTCACTTTGCAAAGTGAATTTTAGGCTAACTTAGTGATTAGCCACTTGCCTACTAGGCACTTATACCCCCTTCCTTACCAGGCCAATTTTCAGCTTTCATTGCTCTCACACTTTGAATGACAATTGCGCGGTCATGCAACATTGTACTCATATGAAATTGTTATCATTTTTTTCCTCACAGATAGAGATTTCATTTGGTGGTATTTACTTGCCACTGAGTATTTTACTTTTTGTGCTATAAACAAAAAAATAGCAAAAAATTTGAAAAAAAAAGTTTCTTTTTATCTATTATAAAATTTTGCAGACAGGTAATTTTTTTCCTTCACTTATGTGCGTTAATGAGGCAGCACTGATAGGCGGCACTGATAGGCAGCACTAATGAGGTGGCACTGATAGGCGGCACTGATGATGGGTACTGATAGTCAGCACTGATAGGCAACACAGCTGGGCACTGACTGGCGGCACTGCTGGGCATTGACTAATGGCACTACCTGGTAGCACTGCTGGGCTGCACTGATGGGCACTGGTGGGTGGCAGAAAATGTATATTATATAGGGCGCGCTTGTTGGAGCCCAACCTCTGTCGCTGTAAGATAAAGGTGCCAGATGGATATCAGGGATGGATGGATGGAAGCAGTAACACTGAGGCAGCTCTTCTTAGAGTGGAAGCAAGGCTCTAATGCAGTAACAAGAAAAAGAGAGGAAGGCGCCTCTAAGTGCAGTATTAACAATTTATTAGTAGACAATGGAAAATTTGCACTTACAAGTTAAACGGTTAAAAAGACTCATTGTGTGGTAATTTTGGAGCATGCTCAATAGGCAGGAGCCTATTGAGCATGCTCCAAAATGCATTACCGCCTCTTTCACCTGCTACATCTGACTCTGCTCTCCAAGCTTCATTTTTGATGCACAGGCACATCCTGGACTCTACTTCCTGATCCTATAGGCATAACTTGCTGCTGGACGGCTGGATGTCCCACCTGGATCCAATTACCACATGATGAGTCTTTTTAACCATTTATCTTGTAAGTACAAATTTTCCATTGTCTACTAATAAATTGTTAATACTGCACTTAGAGGCGCCTTCCTCTCTTTTTCTTGTTACTGGTGGGTGGCAGTGGTGGGTACAGGTCGGTGGAACTGCTGGGCACAGGTGGGTGGCACTGCTGGGCACAGGTGGGCGGAACTGCTGGGCACAGGTGGGCGGCTCTTCTGGGCACAGGTGGGCAGCACTGCTGGGCACCGATCATCAGGGCACTGATCATCAGTACCCTGATGATCGGTGCCGATCCCTGCTCTGAAAACTGCCATTCCTCTGCAAAACTTACCTCACGCTGTGACAGCGTGAGGAAAGTGCAACTGAGAACCGGCAATTGCATTTCCCTGTGATCAGAGTGTCATTGGACATGGCTGATCACGTGGTAAAAGGCTGCTGTAATTGGCCTTTTACCACATCATGTGATCAGCTGTCCTTAGGACACAGCGATCATGGAAATCGCCGGGTGACCGCCTCCGGGGGGGGCGCGCAGGAGAGCGCGATCTAGGAGGACGTCATATGACACCCTCCCAGAACAGGCCGGCCTCAGTGCAGCCATCATTCAGCTATCTGCGGTCGGCAACTAGTTAAAGTGGAAGTAAACTCCTACTGGACACTTGTACCTACAGCTAAGCTTATAATAAAGCATGCACCGTTTAAGGGATATTCAGTGTCCCTGCAGCCGATGATGTCACCGGCGCAGGTGCTCTGAAGGAGCTCTATACCTGTGCTGTTCCATCAGAGCTCTGTGCTGCAGCTGAGACCCCTGCAGTGGAGTGACATCATCGCGGCTTGGCCAATCAAGTCCAGGCAAACTGAAATAAATTGGCTTTTGGCTTGCACATTGCTGGACGGTTAAAGTCAGCACAGATTCACCTCATTCACCATGATGAAAATTTACTTTGCAAAGTAACTTTTTCTACTCCTTTAGTAATTTAAACCTTTAATCCTGGAGAGGTATTTTCCTGCATTCAGCTGAGTACCTGACAATGCCAATAGTCTCTGTTACTCTGTCATGTGTTATAACAGAGTACACTAGTCTGCTTCACAGCAAATGCCAGTACAATGTCAACTATTTCAAATTATTGTTCAAATATGCTTTTTATATGATTGACATTAGTTTATCTGCAATATGACTGCTGTGGCAAAGTGAAAAGTAAAATACATTTCAAACATATACTGTAAATATAAAGGAATGCATTCATCCAACCTCCTTTGCTCAGTATGTAGGAAATAAGATTTTTTGAAAACAGCAAGAGGTAGGAACATGTAGTTCAGTGTATATACTTTTGCAGCTGGACTTGATAACACAAAATGTTCTTCTGGTTGGCGAACTGGATTTACTGCATGATGTGCATGTACAGCTAATGTATTCCATGCACACCTTGCAGCATCCATTCTTTACAGAGATAGTATATTGTGTCAAGCATAAATATTAACTACTTCCAGTCTGAGTTCATTTTGACATTCCTCCCTACATGAAAAAAACATAATGCTAGAGAACTACTTAGAACACCAAAACATAAATATTTTTAAGCAGAGGCCCTAGAGAATAAAATGGTAGGTGTTGCATGACTTTTACAGCACAAAAGCACAATATAATACCCAATTGTTCAGTAAAATATAAAAGATAATGTTATGCTGCGTAAATAGACACCAAACATGTCATGCTTTAAAACTGAGTATGACCATGGAATGGTGCAAAACTGTCGTACCTAAAAACTCCATAGGGGACACTTTAAAAGTCTTTACAGGTTACCAGTTTAGAGGTACACAGGTAGTCTGACACCAGAATTACTGCTCTCGCTCTGACGTTCACGGTGATACCTCACATGTGTGGTGCGATCACTGTTTCCATATGAATGCGGGACACGCACGCATCACAAGGAATGTAAACATCTGGTACTTTTTTTGGAAAGATGTGATGTCTATTAGATCCCATAGCTCTCCAAGGTCAGTGTGCTCTGATGTTTGTTCAAGTCGGTAATGGCTTGTTTACATAAAACTGAAAGTGATTAACCACTTCCCGACCGGCCGTTGTATATAAACGGCCGGACGGTGGCACTGCAGGGTCGGGTGGCCGTCTATAAACGGCCTCCCCGCACCCTGCTTGTGTGTGCTCCCTGGGAGCGCGCAGCACCGCGATCCGGTGCCCGCTGTGTCCTCCGGACACAGTGAAACACCGATCGTCGGACGGGACCTCTGTACGAGGTCCCGATCATGTGATCACTGATTGGCCAGTCAGTGATCACATGCAAAGTAGTAAGCAAGATGTCACTTCTGACATCATTGCTTACTATGTGTGAAATCTGTGAATGATCACAGAGGTCAAATGGTACAAGGCTATTCACAAAAGCCTTGTACCATGTGACAAGCTGTGACCAATCACAGCTCACTCAGTTCTTCTCAATGAGTGCAAGAATGCACACAGAAAGAAAGAGAAATGATTGCTTTTACATCCTATATGGGTGTAAAAGCAATCAGTGTAAAAAAAAAAAAAAAATCTTCATCACCCCTCGCAAGTAGTACAGTGTCACTATGGTGACACTGTACTGCTAGGGTGACAGTATGTAAAAAAAAAAAAAATAATAATATAAAAAAATAAAATAAAAATGTAAAAAAAAATGTTTAAAAATTATAATTTTTGCTTATAAACTAATTTGGATTTTTTTTTTTACTAAAAAGATAACGGAATAAATTTTGGCTAAGATTTATGATGAAATATTATTTATTTGCAAAATTTTATTAAAAAAAAACACTTTTTTTCAAATTTTTTGGACATTTCATTTACATAGCAAAAAAAAATACAAATCCCAGTGGTGAATAAATACCACCAAAATAAAGCTTTATCTATCTCAAAAAAAATGGTAAAAAATTCATTTGGGTACAGTGTTGCATGACC